AAAAGCTGGTAGTTGGAAGTATTCATAAACTTCCATTACCCTTGTGAGTTTTTAAGATACATAATTCTTTTAAAATAATATCACACTGGGGAAATCTGAATACAGTGGTTGGATTATCTCAATGTCAGGCCCCCGGTTGTGATATGGTACTACAGTATTTCAAGTTATTACCACTGAGGAGAGGGGACTCATGGGATCTTTCTATATCATTTATTACAAATGCATATAAATTTACAATTATATTTATAAAACTTCCAGTCAATTGTTATTATAAAGAATTTTTTTTTTTTTAAGATTTATTTATTTGATAGAGCAAGCACAAGTAGGGGAGTGGCAGTCGGCGGGGAGAGGGAGAAGCAGGCTCCCCTCGGAGCAGAGAGCCTGATATGGGGCTCGATCCCAGGACTCTGGGATCATGACCCGAGCCGAAGGCAGATGCTTAACAACTGAGCCACCCAGGTGCCCCATTATTATAAAGAATTATATTCCTTCTCTCATTTAGGTCTGCCTAGCAAAAGATGACTTGATGGTTAATATAATACGGCACTTAAAAGTATAGACTTCGAGCCTGACAAACCTGGACTTGAACATGGCTCTATTCGGTTGGCTGAGTTACTGAGCCTCTCAAGATTTTGTCCTCATTAGGTGAATGAGGAGAATAATAGTAAATATTTCATAGACTTTTGAGGATTACATGAGACAGATCATGTAAATCACTTTCTCAGTGCTTGATATATAGGAAATACTGGAAAATATCAGTGGCTGTGATGAAGAGGATGATTATCATCACCATCATCATCACTATTATTACGTCCGTAATTAGAGTTACAAGAGGAGCACTTCATCATCTTCCCTTGGCCTAAATTCTAATTGCTACTGGGTATCTTGGCTTGTCCTTCATAAGGGACACTTTGATTTTTCACATCCTTGTTTTACTTAAAATAAGTTAAGGGCAATTTTATCAATCAGAGCTAAATGATCACTGCTAATAGCTGTATTATAATAAGTTATTGAAACTGATGACAGTAGATTTGTGATCAAAATTTTCTGAGTACAAAATAAGAGAGAAGAAGGAACAAACTGAAACTGAGCAACATACTATCTGTACCCCAGCAATACAACTCTGAAATAGAAAGTCGTTTTTGGCTGCAGACTCCCAAAGAGCATGTGTGTTCTCTTTTCTATCACTGAAGTCCATCTGATGTAGTGGAAAAAGCACTGGTCGGAGTAATGAGCAGTTCTGGGTTCCAGATCCAGCCCTGTCATAGGCACTGTGATCTTAGGCCATGTCTTTTAGTTTCTCTAGCTACCTGTTTCCCTATGTGTAAATTGTGAGGTTTGAATTAGATTAGTGATTCTCAGAGAGTGGTCCCTGGATCAGCAGCACCAAGTTTACCTGGGTACTGGCCAGGAAAGTACCCTCTCAGATCCCACCTAGATCTACTGGTTTAGAGGCTCTGAGGGTAGAGGGTAGGGCCCGCCAGTCTTTGTTTTAACAAGCCCTCTGGCAGAACTGGATTCACACTAAAGTTTGAGAGTCACTGCCCTGGATTAAATTTTAGTCTAAATATTAGATTGTTGGACCCAGCTCCCAGAGTTTCTGATTCATAGATCTGGGGTGGGTCTGAAAATTTGCTTTTATGACATTCTCCATCCTTGCTGATGTTACTGGTCATGTTCCATCCTTTGAAAACTACTAGGCTAGATCAACTCGAAGCTCTGTTCCAACTCTGATTTTATCCTCGCTATTGCTTTCACAATGTCTTCTGCCCCCCTTCTTACTTACTTTATCCTGCAACTTATTGAAACCGCCTCTGAATTCATGTTTAGCATTGAAAATTTCTAACATATCCTACTTTGTAGAGTGTGATGACTGGAAAAGAACTTCTCTAAATTCTTACAACTGATGTTAATATGAAACACCTACAGCTCTTCAGCATTGAAGGCGACCCTAGATGGTTCACTTAGTTATCTCATGTACACAGCTAGTTACAAAAGAAATATCTTCAGACACCAAAGTTCAGGAATCAAGATCTGATGCTTTGTTGCCATTGATCCCTTTATGTTGTCTCATGTTCTGAAGATCTTGGGCATCAGTGTAGAAGTAAAATTATGTTTTCATCCCAAGAGTCTATATAATGAATAGTAGTAAAGTTCCCAAATTCCATCTTCACATGATCCTTGTAGTCTTATCTCTTCTTTTTCATGGTTTTCTAGACACTTGGGACGGGTTAATGCTCTGTGAGGCCTGGTTTCTGCTAAAAACATGACAATTCTCTGCCTGTCAAACTGAATTATTTTGCTGGTTCATGTTTTCTTTTTCAAAGTAGAGTTATGGGGAAGAGCCACTATTTCTTCTCTCTCTCTCTCTTTTTTTTTTTCTTTTCAGTAATTTGATTATTTTCTAGAACTGCATATGCAAACTATCGTAAGAAAAAAACAAGGCTCTAACATTTCCCGAGTGCCTGTTCTTTGCCAGTCACTGTGCCACAAGTGTTACTTTCTGTTCTCTTTAATCCTCACAATAACTGCATAAGGTAGTATCATTAGCTTTTACATGAAGCAATAGGCTCAGACTACAGAAAGGTTAAGTAACTGTTCATGATCACATGGCCAAGCAAATGGCAGTGTATAGATTTAAGCTCCGAGATGTTTGACAGCAAAGCCTTTGTAGACATGGTAGATTCTGGACAAATGTGTGATGAACGAATGAATAAAGGAATGACTACATCATATTATCTTCTTAATGCTGAGTTTGCAAAACAACAGAATCATAAAGTGGAACAGACTCTGGAGGTCATTATCTAGTCAGGGTTTTAGTTATGTTACCCTCTGAAGTATCTCCACCCTACGGGTACACAGCCTTTCCTTGACCACCTCTGGGGAAATGACACGCAGGACCTCTTTAATCGGAGTGCTTGTTGAATAACTAATTTTTAGAAAGTTCTTCTTTACATTTAGCTCCCCTAAAATCTTTTTCTTCTGAGTCTTGTTCCGCCCTTGTTAACCGCTCAGACTTAATCTGCTTCTTTTGCTGCACGAAGATAACCTTGTATCTTCTCTCTTCCAAGCTAAATAACCCCCATTTTTTCAGCTACTTCTCAAGATCCGTAGCATGGAAGAATAACTTAATAATTGTTCATTAAAAAGAAGGAAAGAATAAATAAATACGATGCCTAGACTTCTCACTTTCTTGTTCACCTTTAGAGCATGAGGCGTCTGTGCTGTTCTAGGTCCATGCTAGGAACCATATGTCTAGAAGTAAATGAAATGATTTCCTTTGATCTACTCTTGCACTGAACAGCAGTCACCTACAAGAAAGACTGTTTTATTTTCTGACATAGAACAGTGCCCTCCTCTTCGACATCTCAGGTTTGCATCAGGTCACAGCAAGCTGGAGTTGAACAGCAAACCTAGTGCTTTTCTTCAGGGTTAAAGGCAAGACCCGGGCACAAGGGGATCAGCTCCAATTTACGCAGGCTAAGTTTGTACTCTCACGTACAAAACTCGGGCTTACCTCAGCTAAAATGGTAGAAATAGCTGCCCAAAGCTAGTTTCTTTCACGCCCCACTGGCAAGGTAGTAATTGCACAAAGACCTTTTTATTATAAGTTGATTTTCCTGAGAAATGAATTCAGAAAAATACTGTAAAGTGTTTATTTTTTGCTTGCCCTTTATTAACCCACATCTTAGGGCTTTCCCTAGAGAAAAACTGTTGGTAAATGAAACCTCTTAGACCCACACAGAAGCATTTTTGCACCATGTCCCTGGCTGTGGAGGGAACAGGGACAGGACAAGGCAAGTTGGCACTATTTAAACAGGGTCATCGGCCAGTATACGGAATTTTGCCTAAAGAGAAATTTTAAGAATTTAAATGGGGGAAGGGCTTGGGGTTGGTAGAATTATTGGTAAATGTTTATATCTTAAACAGGATATAAGGCAGTTTTTTTTTTTTTTTAATATGAGCAAAGAGCCCAAAGACCCAGTTTGAACTTAAAAATCACTTCTGTGAGGACATCCTAGTTTTGATCTTTAAAGAACAAAAGTCCTATAGTTCAGCCTATAAAATCATGCACTAAAATCCAGGACAAAACCTTCCTGTGATGCTCTCCTGGAATCAGGGTAGCATGCATCAAGTAAAAAAGGGAGAGCTAGGGAATTAAAATGTGATTTCACAGGCATGATTTTGTCATAGCTCTTATTTTCTTTATCTAGAATACAAACACTGATATAGAGTGAAGATTTTCTATTTTGCATTTCTGTGCTCTTTGATACATTTATTGAGGTCAAATGAAATTTGATATAGTAGGATTTATTATGAAATGCTCTCTGAATACAACTCCGTAATTACTGAGCCACATGGTAGTACATAAAGCTGTAAAACCGCTAAGCCAGACAAGCAATTTATATGTTACATCGAGGTGTGTATGGCAAAGAATATTAGTTTAATTGGGAGCCAAGATGTAGTAGCCCTAAATCTGAGGAGCTATATGTTTAACATAATGCGGCAAGGCTTTGAAATAAGACACCTAAACTGGGGAGATGCCGCTTTGGGAATATATAACAATTAGACATTATTTTCTGACCAAGGATACTAAATCCTGTTTCCCAAATAAAAGGCAGAATGCAAAGCAGGTGAAAGGGCAAAACCTTTCAATATTGCACGGTGTACGAACAAACATTTCTTCCGGTTGTTTTGTTTAAAAAAAAAAAAAAAAAAAAGGAAAAAAGAACACAGTCAAGAGAAAAGAAAAGCATTCACCAGGATTTGGTGGAAGCAGGGATGAGGCAAATTTGCAATGAGGTTGTGTCCTTGGAGTGCTAATGGGATCTAAGAACAGGGACTTGGTAACTTTCACCTGCATTTTCTCAGGGAGCAGATCTGGAATGAGGTCGGAAGTGGGTGGCTGTTTGGGTACCAGCACAGCGGCAGGAGTGAAAAACAAATACTTCTTGGCACACATTTGCTCTCTGTCTGATCATAGGCTCTCTTCTGTTTAGCAGGTTCAGGGTCACATGCCTCCGCTCATGATCCCAATTTTTCCACATGACCAGCGGACCCTGGCAGCAGCCGCTGCCGCCCAGCAGGGCTTCCTCTTCCCCCCTGGAATAACATACAAACCAGGTAAGTAGAGAGGAATTTAACATTCTTTTGGAAATGCTCAGATCCCCGTGTTTTTGCTTAGTAGTCACAACAAAAACAGGAGCATACAAAGGAACTATGAATAAAAAGATCACAAAAGCTGATTTTCACATAAAATTCGAATTGGGACGTTAATTGGGAAGGGGGCACATTCAGAAACTCATTGGTTGCTAAAAACTTTTGTATTCTCTTTTTTCACTTGGTTTGTTCTGAATTCACAGATAGAATGCTACTTTCCCTGGGGACCACAGGTTTTTGTCAGCTCTCTCTCATACCTTCACTGTCAATAATTGTCTTTGGTTAAAGACCCTTTCCTCCTCCTCTTGGGAGCTTTCGTGCTCTGGGACAGTAGTCACACAAACTATCAAATGTTACTGTTGTTTGTTGTCTGGTTTCTCCTGGAAGAAAAGTTAAAACAGGACTGATTTAATTAGCTTGCTGCTAATAGGTAAGCTACCTTTGGATTTGAGTGTAAATAATGAAGCATTTAGTAGTATTTTTCTCATTCATCTTTGAACCTCAGAAACAGGTCACATAACCTTGCAGTGAAATATGTTTTGAGATGATTTAGCAAATGTTATGATTTTTCTTTATTCCTCTGAGTTTACTGGACTCCTGGGGAATTCAATTAGGGACATAATGGTTTGAAGTTTCTTTCAGAGCCTCCTTGTAAACAGGGCTTTAAATGTTTAAAGATATGTTGCCAAAGGAATCCAATGTAAGAAGATAGTCAAGTAAATAAAGTCAACCTTAATTTCATTTGTGCATTCTTTGTAAGTGACCTCAGCTCAGAAGTAGTGACCTTGTTCTACTCATTAATAATTTCCGTGTCAAGTTCTTTTTAACATATTAACCTGATATATTAACCACCAAATCCGAGTACAACAAATCTGAGTGCAGCAGTTTCGTGTAGAGGGTTTATAAAGTGAACAAAGGCCTTTTAATGTGCTTAAAGTAATAATAAAATCTAAATCACTTTACTGAAATCCTCAGTAAGGAAGCTTACTAAGTAGCCTAAAAACAAACCTAGTGAATTTTAACATCTATTTTAATTGCTTATTGCTATCAATTACTCTTTTGCATTTGCTAGATGTCTACCTTTCTTGTGAGAAAAGGTAGGATGCCTGTCAGAACTCACAGGTTTCAAGAAAAAGAGATATTAAGGAATTGGCTCATTTTAAGGACTGACTTTGAAAATTCTTCAGATGCAAATTAGTCAGGTCTGGTTTTACCAAAGATTTTGGGATACCTGAATAAAAGAAAATTTTATTGTTTAACCTGTCAGATTTTGATTTTTCTAAAGCAGGATTTTTAGAGCAAGGTATATTCCTTATAAAATTGGTACCCATATTAAGGACAGGAGTATATTTTGTCAGAGACTATGTTTCTGTCAATGCAGTGGTTCGGTCCTTCCCTGATCTCTCTAAGCAGTTCTGAACTATTTCTCCATCTTGACTTCCTCTGGAACATTGATGTAAGCTCAATTTACTTGTTTACCCTGAATCCGAGTTGTCATCCCTCTACCAGTCTTAGAAACTTTTTCATCTGTAGAAAACCTTTCTTTAATTTCAGTGCTTCTAAAATTTAAAACGCTTCACATTTAAAAATCAGGGATGAGCCTTATTTTCTACTGCACGTTAACAGTGACATAGTTGACCTGTTACCTAATTTTGTTAAAACAATAATGCCATTTTTCATGGGGAAATGTATTGTTATATAGTTAATGAATTTGGACCACTTTTAAAAGAATTCTTCTCACATGGCACTGATGAGACCGTATTAAGTAACTAAGGAGAATATGGAGATTGGGAGAGTGGTGCCCATAAGTGTTATCTCTGTTGGACAACATATGTGCAGCATACAGTAGTGTTCAGGGATAGCAGGATTATGTGTGATTATGGCGGCTAAAACCTGTTGGTTAAAGCATGACAAGGATCTGGGCATGTAGGACAATTTTTAATCACAAGCAAGGCTGATAAAATAAATTATTTTCTGGTGGCCCCTAAGTTATATCAGAGGATTTTATTAAACAGAATTCTAAATTCTTAATATTTTGGCTGATCCGGGTTTTATAGTATATCCAAATTATATTTTAAAAGATTAAAATTATTTATTCTTATGCAATTAGCAGAGAAATTACATACTTGGGTGACTTAATCTATGTGGTGTTTCTGTCCTTCACATGAACTGGAGGAGTAGAATCGTGTTGGACTGGAGTCTGGACTAGGAAAATTTTTTGCTCCAAACTGATCTGTGATAATTTCATTTGAAATACATGTGAAATGATGATTAAATTTTTAGAAGAGAGTAGTTCTGTCACATATAAAAGATGTGAAGTGGTGGTATAACCTTATATTTTGGTCCCCTGGACAAGAGGATGAGCAATCACAATTTTGATCTTTATAAATTACAAAATAAATGGCTCTCTTTGCTCTTTTCCACCTTCCCATAACCTGAAACAATCCCATAGTGTTTGTGCCTTCAGCTGATTGAATAATTGTCGTGATTTCTAGGAAGCACGGGCTATCTGAGGGTGATGTTCATGTCAAAGTTGACTGTTTCTGAATCAATGATTAGGACAGTCTGAACAAATATACTTAGGGCTACAGTCCTTCTTCCCTTCAGATAATTTTACACATTGCTCTGGGCATAATAGGGTCCTGGTGTGCAGTGAACGCCAAACAAGTACTCCCACTTTGGTGGGTTGCTGAGAAGCCATATGACCTAGGGATTGTGCAGTTTCAGGGGGACTATCTATCAGATTAATATCTGTAGACATAGCTTTATTGAGTTTTAACTCTTTTTTTTTTTTTAACTGACTCTTTAATTAGACACATCATTCTAGGCAGGGCCCAGAACATACACCACAGAAGTTGGGTTGCTTAGTGCTCTTTCAGATCATGAAACAGAGATGCAGCAATCCGGGTCAAGAAAAATGTGTTTAAGCACCTATGTTTGAGAAAATTAAAAGAGTAAGCCTCTTTCATAGCTGGCAGTGTGTATGTAAAACAGGATTGAATTGGCTATAAAATAAAAATAATGGATAACCTCCTTCATGTGCCAGGGATGGTGCAGCTGACCCATGGACTGAGTATAGTTCGGATTTTTAAAATTGCTGCTGGAGTAGTCCCCTTGGCTTCCTTGGGGATTCTGGGAATAGGATCTCTGCCTGCCCCTGGCTTTCCACCCACTTGTTATTATAATATAATAGCTAAAGCCTCCTGAATAAGTTGCTCTGTGCCAAACACTGTGTTAAATATTTTACATGGATTATTTTATGTAATTCTTACTTGAACATGTCATTTAGCCTTGCTGAGCCTCACATTTTTGTTATCTAAAAAATATGCCTACTGCTTGGTGTGAGTGTGAAGATTAAATTTGTTACAATATATGTAAGTTCTTTGAAAATTCTAAGGCACTAGGTTTAGGGGTAAAGTCTGACCGTGAAACTATAAATTTAACAATATTAAACTACATCCTTATTCATTAGAAATGTCCAAAAACTGAGCATTGGACTGAGATATATTATCCCTCTGCCTGAAAACAAAAATAATTTTACAAGTATACCTAGTGCTTCTTTTATAAAAAATTCTGGTGAAATATACATAGCATAATACCCAATATTTTAACTATTTATAAAAGTGCAATTCAGTGACATTAATACATTTGCAATGTTGTGTAAGCATCACTACTATTTATACCCAAAACTTTTAATCATCTACAATGGAAACTTTGTGTCCATTAAATGATAATTCTCCCTATCCCCTAGTAACCTCTATTCTACTATCTTTCTCTATGAATTTGCCTATTCCAGATAGTTCATGTAAATGAAAGTAAGATCATACATTACTTGTTTTTCTATGTCTAGCATATTTCACTAATCATAATGTTTTCAAGGTCCATCCATATTGCAATATATATCCAAAATTCATTCTTTTTATGGCTGAATAATATCCCCTTGTGTATGTATGTCAATATCTATATATATGTATGTGTGTGTCTATATGTATATATATATATATAATGTATTATGTGGATAGGCAGTTTGCTTATCCATTCATCTGTTGATAGACACTTGGGTTGTTTCCACATTTTGGTTATTGTGAATAATGCTGCTGTGAACATTGATATACAAATATCCGTTTGAGTCCTTGCTTTCAGTTCTTTAGGATATTTGTGTAGGAGCAGAATTGTTGGGTCATATGGTAGCTGTGTGTAACTTTCAGAGAAACTGCCAAACTGTTTTCTACAGAGGTTCTGCCTTTTATCCTCCCACCAGTAATCTAAGTGTTACAGTCTCTTCACATCCTCACCAATACTTGTTACTTTCCAACTTCTTCAAAGAAATTATAGCCATCCTGGTAGATGTGAACTAGTATCTCATTGTGGTTTTGATTTTCATTTCCCTAATGATTAATCATTTTGAGCATCTTTTCATGCGCTTATTGGAAATTTGTATAAATTTCTTGGAGAAAGTACTTTGCTTAGTGTTTTTTTTTATTATTATGTTCAGTTTTTAATTAAACTGTTTTTGTTATTGAGTTTCAAGAGTTCTTTATATATTCTAGATATTAATCCCTTATCAGATATATGATTTGCAAATATTTCCTTCTGTTCTTAGGTTGCCTTTTCACTTACTCAATAGTGTCTTTTGATGCACAAAAGTTTTTAATTTTGAAGCACTCCCAATTTATATTTTTTTCTTTTGGCTTGTGCTTTTGTTATCCTATCCATGCAATTGTTGCCAAATACAAAGATTTACTCCTGTGTTTTCTTCTTAGAGTTTTATAGTGTTAGTACTTAAGTTTAGGTCTTTGATCCATTTAGTTAATTTTTATATGTTATTTATTCTTTTGCATGTGCATATCCAGTTTTCCCAGCACCAGTTGTTGAAAAGATATTCTCTCCTCATTGAATATTCCTGGCTCCCTTGCCCAAAATCAATCTACCGTATATGTAAGGGCTTTTTTTCTGGGCCCTCT